TTAAGTATTGATGACAGTAGAAAATGGAGAAAAGGCAGACACAACAGGCACCAGGGGTTCACACTCATAATCCTAGCTACTCAGCAGGCTCAGATCTAAGGATCCAGGTTTAGAGACAACTGGGAAGATAAATCTTCGAGACTCTTTTCTCCAGTGAAACACCAAAAAGCTAGAAATGGAGCTATGGCTCAAGTGATAGAGTATTAGCCTTGAGCAAAAAAGCTCAGGGATAGTATCCAAGCCCTGAGTTCAAGCCCCAAGACCAGCACAAGACCAGCAGATAAATTTGAGATATTGGTTCTAGCCCTAAAATACATTACTTGCAGCTGGGTTAGGTATAGAGGATAAATACGAAGAAGGAATAAGAGGATTTCCACGTTCCTTACTTGACCAACAAGGAAGAAAGATGTGTGACCACAGAAGGGTGAGAGAAAGGTTTTGACAGAAAGTTTGTTTTGCCTATGAAATTTTAAAAATGGTCAGTAGGTAATTGAGGATGTTAAGCTCTTAAGAGGTCAGACCAAAAATGCAAATGTGAGAATTGCTTGGGAATTATTTTACTTATATACATCTATCTGATAAGATCAAGATAAGAGTATAGAAAAGATGACCAGGAGGGCTGGGAAGATGGCTCAGTGGTAGAGCGCTTGCCTTGCATGCCTGAGGCCCTGGGTTCGATTCCTCAGCACCACATAAGCAAAAAGAAAAAAGCTGGAAATGGCACTGTGGCTCAAGTGGTAGAGCACTAGCCTTGAGCTGAAGAGCTGAGGGACAGCACCCAGGCCCAGAGTTCAGGCCCCACGACCGGACCAAAAAAAAAGAAGATCAGGGGCTGGGAAGGTGGCTCAGTGGTAGAGTGCTTGCCTTGCATGCATGAGGCCCTATGTTCGGAAAGAAAGAAAGAAGAGAGAGAAAGAGGGAGAGAGGGAAAGAAAGAAGGAAAGAGAAAGAAAAGGTAATCAGGCACAGAGCTGAGGCATTTCCAAGATAGGAAAGCTAGTGTTGCAAGACAAACAAGTAACAAGGGAGACTGCTGTAACAGCCAAGAGAAAGAAAATCAGAAGAGTGCTTTATTGTGGAAAGTCTTCAAACAGGAGGAATAGTCATCCAGTATGAATCTTTGTTTTAAGATGAGAGCTACCTACATAGTCCAGACATACATAGTATGTTTGAAAAATTGCCATCAGTAAGGTGGAGGCATGGCTACGTTATAGCTATATAGTTATATACCTAGTAGGCAATTATTTTTGGTGGTAATTGAACTGAGGTGAATTACCAAAAAAAATTGTCATTAGCAAACATGGTATAATAGCTCTATCCCTTAAAAAAATAAAAAGAAGCCAGGAGCCAGTGGCTCACGCCTATAATCCTAGCTACTCAGGAGGCTGAGATCTGAGGATCATGGTTCAAAGCCAGCCTGGGCAGGAAAATCTGTGAGACTCTTATCTCCAATAAACCACCAGAAAACCAGAAGTGGTGTTGTGGCTCAAGTGATAGAGAGCTTTCCTTGAGCTGAAGAGCTAAGGGGCAGCACCCAGGCTCAGAGTTCAAGCCTCTGACCAACTAAATAAACAAATAAATACAAGATGAGAGTAAAAGGTATACAACTGTAATCCTAGCATTTTAGCACTTGGGTGGCAGAGGCAGGTGAATCATGAGTTCCTAGACCCTTGTCTAAGGGGGGAAAAAAGACTTTTATTGAATTGGGTGCTGGTCGCTCATACTTATAAATCCTAACTATTTAGAAGGCTGAGATCTGATTATCAAAACTACCCAAAGAAGAAAAGTCTATGATACTCTTATCTCCAGTGAACCAGCAAAAAGCCACAAGTGGAGATGTAACTCAAGGGTTGGAGCAGCAGCCTTGAGTGGAAAAAGTAAGGAGAACATTACGCCCTGAGTTCAAGCACCACTACCACCAGGAATAAATAAATTCTCTATATAATATCTCCTCCAGCTACTGCTTTTTTCCTCTGCATACTGTCATGTAAAAGTCCTCATGAAGGAATAATTACCTGCCTCTTTCCTCTGTCTTCTTTTTACTCCATTTAGGCTTTCTCATCCTTACTCAACTGAAACTACTCTAGCTGGTACTGTAGCAAGATAATCTGTTCCCTCTCCGCAGGATTTGATTGAGTTGATTACTCCCTCCTTGAAAAACTGCTGAGCAGTCCTCTCCACAGAATATGAGCTTTTTATTGCTGGTCTGCCTGAGCACTTCTCTGTTCCTAGTATCACAATAGTGCCTGATATACAGGTACTATTTTGTAAATTTTTTGGACAAATTCTGATAAAAGGTTGAATCAGATGAGGATAGGAATATTGCCAGTAGATTTGGCAGTGTGCATTTTTGGGTACGTTTTTATTGTAAAAATACTATATATATATATATATTTTTTTTTTTTTTTGGTGGTCTTGCTTACAAGTTTCAGTAGAGCACTAAAGATGAGAATCAGAGCAGAAAGATAAAGGAAAACCTGGAGGTTAGGAATTTAAGGGGAGAAAATTAGGCAATTGTTGTGAGAATTTAGCCAAGAAGAGAAACATAGGGCTGCAGTGACAGAATGTAAGTGAAGTCAAGAAGATGTCTTTGGAGTAACAGTAATGGATGCACTCCAGAGCTCATTATGGAAGAATTAACCTTTATATGAGAGCAACGTATCTGCCTAAATGGGGAAGATAGTTTTAAACTCAGACTGGTTGTGTAAGTTTGTGGTGGTGTAAGATTGTGACCTGACCTACCTAGTGAGCTGCATAAGAAATGAGGCTAGGTACCTAGTGGAAAGGGAGCCAGATTCTGTGGAATGGAGCTTGTCTATTTTCAAACTAGCCTTGTTTATAGTTGGGCTCCTGGCAGAAGATGGCTGAGGAGTAGGATATGGGAAGAGGTGGAAGGAAACGGAGCAGTTTTGGATATATGGTGTCTAAGGCTCTTGTTGTTTTTTTTTAAAATATTTTTAAGATACTATACAGAGGGTTACAGTCACATGAGCAAGGTAATGAGTACACCTCCCATTGAGCATTGTTACCCCCCCCATTGTTTTTCCCCTACCATCCCTTCCCTCCCTACTTTCCCCGAGGTTCTTTTTTTTTTAATTGTGATTAAGTAATTACATAATTTCCCAAATTTCACAGTATTGTGGAATAATGATGCTCATTTAAAGTCACAAGTTCATTCTAACTTTCCTGGAGCAAATTGTCTATCACAGTTTATAACATATAACGGTATACACATATACACCATACATGTGATCAGCAGCATGGGGATATTTAGTAGTGGTTCGACCAGATGAGTGGGAGTTCTTTGTTTCTTAAGTTCTGTTAATTTTGTCGTATCACCTAACATTTTGGATTTAGCATCCACTTATCAGGGAGACCATGTACCGTTTGTCTCTTTGCTCTTGGCTTACCTCGCTCAACATGATTCCTTCTAGCTCCATCCATTTCCCTGCAAATGCCATTATTTTGTCATTTCTAATGGCTGCATAATATTCCATTGTGTATAGATACCACAATTTTTGGATCCATTCATCTGTGGTGGGGCATGTGGGTTGTTTCCATATCCTAGCTATTGTGAACAGTGCTGCAATAAACATGGAGGTGCACGTGTCCTTGTATATTGGTTCCTGTTGTTCAGGGTAGATAGATGTAAGGCTCTTGTTTTTAAAACTTTTTTTCTTCTCCCATCTTCCTCTAGAGGAAGCCAAATGAGGTTGAAAGAATAACATTGGCCCTGCATAACAAGCCTGCCATCACAGTTTGCTGTTTGTGCATCCATATATTTGAGTTGTTTTTTTTTTTTTTTGTCGGTCATGGGGCTTGAACTCTGAGCCTGGGCACTGTCCCTCAGCTCTTCAGCTCAAGGCGAGTGCTCTACCACTTGAGCTACAGCGCCACTTTTGGTTTTCTGGTGGTTTATTGGAGATAGGAGTCTCACAGTCTCTCCTGCCCGGGCTGGCTTTAAACCGTGATCCTCAGATCTCAGCCTCCTGAGTAGCTAGGATTACAGGCGTGAGCCACCAGAGCCTGGCTGAACTTTTTCTTTTTTTGCAGGGGTGGGGGTCCAGTTGTGGGGCCTGAACTCTGGGCATGGGCGCTGTCCCTCAGCTCTTCAGCTCAAAGCTAGCACTCTACCACTTGAGCCACAGCGCCACTCCCGGCTTTTTTTCTTTTTGCCTATGTGATGCTGAGGAATCGGACCCAGGGCCTCATGCATTGCAAGGCAAGCGCTCTACCACTGAGCCACCTTCCCAGCCCCTATTTGAGTATTTTTTGTGTGCCCAAGTAATATAGCTATAATGAAAGTCTCTGCCTTCAAAGAAAAAAAATTTTTTAACGAGTCCTGGGGTTTGAACTTGAGTCCTGGGGTTTGAACTCAAGTCCTGGGCACTGTCTCTAAGCTTCTTTTGCTCAAGGATAGCATTCTACCATTTGAGCCACAGTGCCACTTCTGGCTTTTTCTGTTTATGTGGTACTGAGGAGTCGAACCCAGGGCTTCATACATGCTAGTCAAGCACTCTACTACTAAGCCACATTCCCAGCCCCAAGAACTTTTATTCTAATGCAAGAGATGTTGGTCCCTTTCTTCTTCCCCTACCTCACACCCTACCTATTAGCCCTAAGGTAAAAGGGAAGTACTTTTTCCTTGCATACTCCTCTCTCACTCTCCTTTGTTCTTTGTCTTACTCTGTGTGTGTGTGTGTGTGTGTGTGTGTTCCTTGTGTGTGTGTGTTCCGTATGTGTATGTTCCGTGTGTGTGTTCCGTGTGTGTGTGTGTGTTCCATAACTTGACATCAACAAAAGCATTACTTTTTCCTTGCATACTCCTCTCTCACTCTCCTTTGTTCTTAGTCTTACTCTGTGTGTGTGTGTGTGTTCCATAACTTGACATCAACAAAAGCATTAACCAAGCCCTTCTTTTTCACCAGTGAGTTTCTCTCATCATCCAACTTGAGCCTTCCATTGCACAGCATAGTAATGACATCTTTTCTTGGTTTCAGATGAGACTCCAATTATCGCAGTGATGGTGGCCCTGTCCTCTCTGCTAGTGATCGTGTTTATTATCATAGTTTTATACATGCTAAGGTAAGTGTACTGTTTCTATATTAGACTTTCTTCTAATACCCTAGTGTATCAGTAAATTTACCCATACAGTCCAGAAGACTAGAAGATAAGAACGATAAGTAGATACGTTCATGATACTGATAAGATTAAAATTTTGTTTAGAACTGGCTGAAACGTTCTAAATAGTCCCACTTAAGCTTTAGCCTCTCCTTTGTTTCCATCTTTCCAAACCAAATCTCAGTTCAGTTCAACCTAAAGCCCAAAATGATAGTTCAGAGGTTGGGGGAACAAACCACAACCATTGTCAAGATCTTCAGCTTTAGCCCTTTGGAAATAATCCCTAAAAGAGCCCTAGTGAGATTACATGCACAACAAAAGCCTATTTTATGTCTAGTTGAGGTTTGACCCCAAACCTCTCTAGAACTGCTGGCCCTGGCATGCTGAGCTAAGTGAAGGGCATTACAGGGTTCATCTCTAGACAATAACCCTCCAACAGTGAACAGGAACCAGGAGGACAGATATCCAAGGAAGAGAAGATGGTAGTGCGTTTGTCATCTTCCTGCTAAAGCTATTACCCTGATGACCTGGATTATCTCTGCCTTATTTTTGTCCTAACCTGCTCACTATTCCCTCCCTCTGTTCTTCTGTGGGAATAGGAAAGTGGGAGGGCTAGTATGCCCACATACACACTTCCACTTGTGCCTCTGTCAGATCTTTGCCCATCTAGTCTAGAGCTCTAAACTTCCCAGGGCTTCCAGGCTATACCTGGTTAACACCAGGACTTTGTTTCATGTAGATCTTTCTGTCTCCCCCTACCGTATTTCATACTTACTCACTGTTTCTCAAGTGGGTGCTGGAACTAGAGTACACAAAGGAGCCAACATGCCAGAATATATCAGTGGTGTAACCTGGGTTGGATTCTAGGGTATCAAGAATAAGCAGAAACATCCAAGGAAGTCAGTCACCATAAGATAGAGCTATCTCAGCTGTACATGACCTGTCTCTAAAAAAAAGTCTGATTATTTAACAAAGATTTGGGAAGGCTGAATTGATAAGCAGGAATACAAAGCCAATGATTGGCCACTTCTGCCTTTGTACACAGTTTTTCATTATAAACGTTGTCTCATTAGGTTTAAGAAATACAAGCAAGCTGGGAGCCATTCCAATTCTTTCCGCTTATCAAATGGCCGCACCGAGGATGTGGGTAAGGCAGGGGGACCTTCAAAGGAAAATCCAAGGAATTAAGTGTTTCTCCATCCTTTTATTTATTTATTTTTTTTTGGGGGGGCCCAGTCGTGGGGCCTGAACTCTGGGCCTGGGCACTGTCCCTCAGCTCTTCAGCTCAAGACTAGTACTCTACCACTTGAGCCACAGCACCACTTCCAGCTTTTTTTCTTTTTGCTTATGTGGTGCTGGGGAATCGAACCCAGGGCCTCAGGCATGCAAGGCAAGCTCTCTACCACTGAGCCACCTTCCCAGCCCTCTCCATCCTTTTAAAAGAGTAAAACTATTAGTCTCCAGAAAAAAGCTGGCTCCCCAGGGTACCTCACTGACCTTCCCCTTTGTTTACTACAGAGCCCCAAAGTGTGCCACTTCTGGCCAGGTCCCCAAGCACCAACAGGAAGTACCCACCTCTGCCTGTGGACAAACTGGAAGAAGAGATTAACCGAAGAATGGCTGATGACAATAAGCTCTTCAGAGAAGAATTCAACGTGAGTTCATTGTTGAGGCTGGTGTGGCATCAGGGAGAAAGGCAGACCTCATGTCAGGCCTTTTCATTCAGAAGTAAAAAATAGGTTTTTAATGGTTAATAGAGAAATTTTCTACCAGGTTTTTCTCACTCCCTTCCTGTTTGATCATAGACAGAAATATTTAAAAAGATTTACTTCATCTGCCTCACGTTCCCATCCATTTATTAATCCATCCATCATCATATCTGTTACTTCATTTGTCTAATAAATACCAAGCATCTAATGTGTACCAGGTAACATTCCAAATGACAGAGATATAGTAGCCAGTCTACTCTGAAGGAATTCACTGCCACTAGGGAATGAAGGAATTCACTGCCACTAGGGAAACCCTTAGTATGAGAATAGAAATAATTAATTGAAACAACAGTCTGGACATGAAAGACTGGGCATAGTTGAAGGGTCACATATTTTTTAGTGGTATTATTTAACTTCAGCTTGTGCTTGCTTAGCTTACTTACTCAGCTGGTGCTCTACCACTTGAACCATACTGCCAACCTTGCTTTTTGGTGATTATTTCCATAATGGAGTCTCAAAGAATTTTCTGCCCAAGCCAGCTTCAAACAGCAATCCTCTGGATTCCAACTTCTTTTTTGTTGTTGGTGGTGGTGGTGGTCGTGAGGCTTGAACTCTGGGCCTGGGCACTGTCCCTCAGCTCTTCAGCTCAAAGCTAGTGCTCTACCACTTGAGCCACAGCACCACTTCCTGTCTTGTGAGTGGTTTACTGCAAATAAGAATCTCATGGACTTTCCTGCCCTGGCTGGCTTTGAATCACAATCCTCAGATCTCAGCCTCCTGAGTAGCTAGGATTATACCAGTGTCTATCGAGAGACCTTTTAGAGTCTAGAACAGGAGACTCCATGTGTCCACAGTAAATAGGAGTGAATCAGTGTGGACTAGGTCAGTCAAAGAACACAGGCCTCATCTTGAATCTTGAATATTGAGATTCATATTTTTATAACTCTCCAAAAAGCATAACATGGAAGTAGTGCTATGGCTCAAGTGGTAGAACACTAGCCTTGAGCAGAGGAGCTGAGGAGCAGCGCACAGGCCCAGAGTTCAAGCCCCACGACCAACAAAATAAATAAATAAATAACAGAAAGCATAACATGTAAACCACCAATTGGTAATCCCAACCCACCAGCTCAAAAGAAATTCCTTGAAGAAGCAGCAGGAGTGGCAGGAAAATAGAACTAGGTATTTTTTATTTTTTTTTTTTTTGCCGGTTGTGGACCTGAACTCTGGGCCTGGGTGCTGTCCCTCAGCTTTTCAGCTCAAGGCGAGCGCTCTACCGCTTGAGCCACAGCGCCACTTCCAGCTTTTTCTGTTTATGTGGTGCTGAGGAATCGAACCCAGGGCCTCAGGCATGCAAGGCAAGCACTCTGCCACTGAGCCACCTTCCCAGCCCAGGAAAATAGAACTAGGGAACATTCCAAGATCTGAAACTAGCAGGAACAAATTATTAGGAGTGAAGAAAGCCACATTGAGAAAATTAACGAAGGACTCTGAGTAGCCTCAGAGAGGAGGTCAAGAGAGTTGTGAAAAATAAAACTAAGAGAAGGCTAGGCTGGGGTAATATTCCAAAAAGAAATTAATTATTTACCTGACTTAAGTAAATATAATCCCTGTGTACATCACCTTTGTAATAACAATAAAAAATTTAAACATAAAAAACGCTAGACCAGACCATTGATCTCAGAGATTGTCTTGAAAGAATTAGAAAGCCATGAACTAAGTAGATTTATATTTTGAAAAGATGATTCTGGCTGCTGTATGGTAATAGCCCATGGAAGGCCAGAATAGTTGCAGGACATACAGGGCTTACTGCAGTTGTTAGATCAAAAAAAGTTGGTATACTTAATGGTTAAGGAGAGGGAAGTAGCTTGAAGGACAGAGAACAGTTCCACAGTTGACCCATTCATCAACTAGATCATTGCTAAAGTGTAAGCTTCCTTCATACCTTTCTGATGTGCCATAGATCAGCTTTGTCTTGTGGAGTAGTCTTTTCATGATGCTGCCTTGATTTGAATCATCACATGGAGATAAAATGAAGTACAGTAAGGAAACATGACTGTTTCTTTTACCAATGAGGAACAGTTTCCCAGAAGCTTCTGGAACCTTACCTTGTCACATACTTGTTCTTAAACCAATCATGTACAAGGGAGATATAGGGTTATTGCAGCTGAATAAGACCAATCCATATTATTCCTGGGTCTTAGCCAGCGATCCCACAGAATAGAAACTCCGGGTGGAAAGTGGGAAGGAGGAATAGTTAATTGGATAGGCATATCAGATCTACCATGGAAGAGCTTAAAAAACCACTGTCTTGGGCTGGGAATGTGGCTTAGTGAGTGCTTGCCTAGCATGCATGAAACCCTGAGTTTGATTCCACAGTACCACATACACAGAAAAAGCCAGAAGTGGCTCTGTGGCTCAAGTGGTAGAGTGCTAGCCTTGAGCAAAAGAAGTTCAAGGACAGTGCCTAGGCCCAGATTTCATGCCCCAGGACTGGCAAAAAAAAAAAAAAAAAACACTGTCTTCAATATAAAGAAAAATAGGAGAGCTGGGTACTACTGGCTCACACCTGTAATCCTAGCAATTTAGGAGGCTGAAATCTAAAGATTATGGTTCAAAGCCAGCCTGGGCAGGAAAGTCAATGAGACTCTTACCTCCAATAAACTACTCAAAGAAAGCGGGGAGTGGCACTGTGGCTCCAAGTGGTAGAGCACAAGCCTTGAGCCAAAGAGGCTCAGGGATAGCACCCAGGCCCAGAATTCAAGCGCCAGGACTTTGGGGCGGAGTGGAGGGTGGGCGGTGGGGAGATATAGAAAGGAGGCAAGAGACCATTACAAGGCAAGATGTAAGAGTGAATGGAATACCTTGTAGCTTTCTCTTTATTTTTTAAACTATTGAAGAAACCACACCATCTAATATTCCTTATTGATTGAGAACATTTACCTCATCTGGTAGGACAGCACCCAGCCTCAGCACCACAGCTGGATTTGGTAGACATGGTATTATTTAGTTATCTGTAATATCACTTGCTCTAGGTAATGAGATATGTGATCCTGTTGTCATATTTTTCTGTGAAATGAACTTTTTGTAGTTAATATTTCCTGATATCTCATGATAAAGCATTCCAATAAATCCTTGGAGAATAGAGCATTCCTAGAAGTACAATAGAGAAATTGAGGTAGATTATAATGATAACCATTTGCTATGATAGCCATGGCTATTCATATTCATGAGCTCTTCAGGCTAGCACTGGGATAACAGGAAAAGCGTGACCAACATTGCCTGGATTCTTGGCAGTGAGTGCTATCTGGTAAATATTCACATGGAGCCTAAGTTTTTCTCTCTCTTTTGTTCCCATTACTCACTACTTAGGGATCAGCTAAGGTCCTGACCTCCAGTAAGATAGATAGTATGAGGACTTGCTTGAAGTTCTGTTTACTGAGATTTCAGACCCATCATTTAGGTACTTAACACTATATGGGTCTTCTTTCTGCATTGGCCAGACTGTCGCACAGACCCATTTTTGTATACCATGCTAGACTTTTTACTTCCTTAGATGTTGACATCAACAGGAAATTGGAATTTTTTTTTTTTTGTCGGTCGTGGGGCTTGAACTCTGGACTTGGGCACTGTTCTTGCACTCTTCAGCTCAATGGGAGCGCTCTACCGCTTGAGCCACAGAGCCACTTCTGGTTTTCTAGTGGTTTATTGTAGATAAGAGTCTCACGGACTTTCCTGCTCGGGCTTGCTTTGAACCACGGGCTTGCTTTGAACCACGATCCTCAGATCTCAGCCTCTTGAGTAGCTAGGATTATAGGTGTGAGCCACCGGCCAGCTAGTTGGAAATAATTTATTGAGGGAGTGAGTGGGATAGGGGGCTGGTGTCTCTCCACACCACTTCTATCTTTGGTAAGATTCTGGTTTGTAGTTTATTAGATTTTTTTTGTAAGCCCCTTTCTGTCTTGGGGCTTGAACTCAGGGCCTGAGCACTGTCCCTGAGCTTTTTCAAAAGCTCAAGGCTAGCACTCTACCACTTTGAGCCATAACATCACTTCCAGTTTTCTGGTGGTTAATTGGAGGAAGGGGTCTCATGGACTTTCCTGTCCAGGCTGGCTTTGAATTGTGATCTTCAGATCTCAGCCTCCTGAGTAGCTAGGATGAGCCACTGGCACGCAGTTAAATCAGTTTTAATACCTAGCTTATGATGGGGAATTGAAGCTACCTTAATGCCTAGTGTCCCAATCTGTACTGTAAAGCCCACTTCTAAGCTAGGATCTTGATCTTGCTGATGATCTTGAGCTTGTTACCTTATCTTGAGGTTTTTCATTACAATTCTTCTATTCAGCCTTATCATGGGCATTTTAGGGTCTCACCAAGTCTACCAAAGCCAATTCCTGTCTGGCCCAGACAGCTGGAGAATTTGCTATTTTCAGATTATTCAATAAATACAGCAGGATACCTGCATGTGATATATTGTCTCCAAACTCCAAAGTTTGGCTCAGTAAGCATTGCTCCTTCTCTTTAATGAGGAAATAAAAGTAGAGCACGGAGTAGCAACTAGTCTTCTAAGTTGGAGGAGATATACTGACATGCTGAAAGCTGTTGACCTTCAGACAACTCAGCTGAGGTGACAAGCCACAGCTTTTTTTTTTTTTTTTTGGGGGGGGGTCCGGTCTTGGGGCCGGAACTCTGGGCCTGGGCGCTGTCCCTCAGCTCTTCAACTCAAG